ATATGATTACACTTACAGCTTTATTTTATTTTTAATCAGGCCATCTATGAATGCGGCATGCCCTTGGCATTATTTTTGCCTCCGAGATTTTTTTTTTTCGCTGATTAATTACAACCCTCAGGGGAAAGGTGCTTGAACAGAACTTGCAATGAAACAAAATTTATTGGCTTGCACATTCCCGATATGTGCCATGTAAGCCACTCGATGCACAATTTTCCTTTCCTCCAGGAAGTACTCTTCGTGGACCCTTTCCACACAAGGCATCCAATTGTAGTTTGTTTGGCTCTTCTCAAAATTGTAATTTTATGCAACCGCACCATGTTTCGAAATCCATATCCTCTATGTTGACAAACAGGGTGAGTAAAAAAAAAACGAAACCCAAATGTCGGGACCACTGTTTTAGATTATGAAGTTGTTTATGTAGCACTATCAAAATCTAGGATTTGAAAGCCCAATTCATAAGCTTTCTTTTAGAACAAGAATCATTCAAATCACCCACGTATTCCAGTTCACAACCGCTGTTTTAAAATTATGTCCACGGATCACACACAAAAAAAGTTTTCTTTCAGCAAAACGAAAATAATTCACACACCTCCTTATGTGATTTGTTTTCGTTTTGCTGAAAAAACACTGACTTTTTTGTGATCCGTGGACATAACCTTAAAAAGGCGGTTGCGTTTAAAACTCCGTATTTTTAAAAGTACATACACTGTAAAAAAAAAAAATGGATAAAACAATGTTGGGCAATATAATTTTACCCCAACATTGATTTGAAATTACCCAGTTTGGGTAAAAGTTTTCCAACAATTGGGAAGAATTTGCCCAAGAGTTTAACCTGTTGATATGTTGACCAACGTTAGTCTACATATCAACCCATTTTGCCAACGTGTCTAAGTGATTTGAATGATTCTTGTACTAAAAGAAAGCTTATGAATTGGGCTTTTATACTCTAGATTTTGAAAGTGCTACATGCAGAACTTCACTACAACAATGGTCCCGACTTTGGGTTTCGTTTTTTTTTTACACACCCTGTATGTTTCCATTAACATATCCTTACCTGTCCCGTTTATTTATGCAATTGGCCGTATGTTTCCACCCTAGTACTGCAATGCCTCTCCCACCCTCATAATTAAGTTTGTACATAGCATCAGACCACGCCAGCTTATCTATGAAAAGTGCAAAGATATTCTTTAAATTAAAGTAATTATTGTCAGCAGAGAAAATTGAACACCCAAAAAGGAAAAGAAAATATTTAAAGCACCTGCTGACTTGGGTGAATGTAACGTGTGTAGTCCTGACTTCCTGTGCACGTAAAGGCCTATACACACGTTACTGTTACATTGTGCGGTGATTAATTATTGTTTCGGTGTTTTTTTGTTAATAAATACAACAGGAAAAGAGGTACTTTGTCCAAGGTTGTCTTTCAAAGTTTGTTTTTTTATATCATTTTATAATCAACACATTATTCAGACAGCAATCGACCTTTTTCAACCCATGTCACAACAAAATGGACGGTGCCATTTTGAAACTTTAACGGTGAAGGCCAGTAAATTGCCTACGCCGGACAAATCACGATTTGCATGCCCTCATTTTGCCGGCCATGAACTTTAAAGAAGAATGGCAGCCGTGCAGAGGACTGTGACCTCGTATTTCTGTGAAAATCGGATAAAATTGTGCCCTAAAATTGCTCTATTTTGCAATGGAGCGTAGGCATCTTTGTTCAAAATGGCGATGGGCTTCAGGACTACTTTTGAGGGTAATAATCTTTGGATGGAATTTTCTCTCCAAAGTCATTGGTTAATCCCCAAACAATTGAGCAAAGAAATGGAAGATGATGAACTAAGCTTTGTTTTGATGTGTGTCTTAAACATCTTGGAGGGTTGTGAGTATTTTTAATAATGTTTGGAATTGCGCGTAATTATCACTTAGGTCTATGGAATTCTATTTTAAGGTCGCGGCCATTTTGATCAATGATGCGACAGTATATATGAGGGCGTACTTTGGTTAATAAACTTCCCTGGCGAGGGGCAACGCTTGGGTTTTGTTGGGGGGGGGGGGGCATTGCGGGTACTGGCGGGTTCTTTTTTCGGGGGGGGGGGGGTTGACCCCCCCCCCCCCCCCCCCGCCCTGCCGAGAAACGTGATTCTTATTAAATTAAATGAGGTAATTTTGACGGCAGTTTCAGTGCCGGAAAGACTATTGCATTCCTTTTCTGCACAGGTGTAAAAAGACTTGCAGGTGGTCAAAAACGTTCAACCCTGTTACTAACCTGATTTGTCGTATTTGCTAAATTTGTAGACGTAGTATGATTAACTGGTCCTACCTCTTGTCTAAATAGTGCTCTGTGGGAAATAGCAAAATTTCGGTTAATCAAAGTGTGCAGGCCTGTAAATGTGCCCGAAATTGCCTACGCCGGCCATATCACAATGTGTATGCCCTCAAATTATCCGGGATTAGAGCATGTTGAGGGCTACAAACTTGAAAAATGAACACAAAAAAAGGAAGGATGGAAACCGTGCAGAGCACTGTGAGCTCGTTTTTCTATGACATTTTGATACAATTAGGTCCTAAATTCGCTACTTTTTGCAATGGCGCGTAGACACTCTTTTTCAAAATGGCGACTGGCGTCAGGACTAATTTTAAGGCTGATTATCTTTCGATATAATTTTCTCCCAAATTTTTTTTGTTTAAACTAACCCTCCCCCCAAAAAAGAAATAAAATAAAATAAAATAACATTTGATGAAATGTTTAATATGATGTGTGCGTCTCAAACACCTTGGAGAGTTGTGAGAATACTTTTTGGAAGTGCGTGTTATTATCATTGAGGTCAAAAACCAATTTGTTTCTGCTGCCAAAAAAATTGGGCAACATAAAAAAAAAAAATTAAATTCTAACAAATTTGAAAAAAAAAAACACACACAAACAAACAAACAAACCATCAATTGTGAGCCCCCCCCCCCAAAAAAAAACCCGAGTGCGCCCCAGACTTCAGTAATAACCAGCAGTGCATTTCGTACACGTACCGAAGTGCTGCCAACAAGTGACAAATGACACACACGGGGCGTATTCGAAACCCCTGTTTCTCACTCCCCACTTATTGGGGAGTAGATGAAGAACGTCAAGAACAAAGATGGCGGACTTAGGCTCTTACCGGAACTTGCGTTAATAATTGTGTATAAAATTGAAAGCATCATTCAGTGTAGGAGCAGTAAACGATAAAAAAAAAATACCCAGCTGATCGGGTCCATAAAAGCCCTCACTAAATTATTACACTGATTACATGGATTACACTGATTTTAACCCAAAATGTTATATAGTGTGTATAAAGAGGGAGAAGCTGTACTGCGTTAAAGGCGGTAGATTGCTGTCGTTCATTAACAATTTGGAGGAAACCTTTTTGCGAAAAACGTTGCCGTTGCGACGAAAGAGGGCGCAGTTTAACACACCCCAGTCGTGGTTTTGTGGCCAAGACTAGTATTCGCTCGCCCGATTCATCGTCTGTGTGCTAAACACTTATCCAAAGTATCCAGCCCTCCTCCACTCACGAACCTAATCACAAAACGAAAACCCTCTAAAGCATTCATTCTAAAAGCTATCGCCTCAATTGTAAAATAGAGTTCGTGAAATGTTACATGTCAAATGACATTGGCATTAAGCAACTCTGTATTTTCCGACTCTAGGAACCTCACGCAATGTCATTATATAATGCACTTACAACGTCACACAGGTCCGTAAACATTTCTAGAGTGTTCTCTTGAAATGGATTATCATCCATCATTTAAACGAGCAAAGGGTAACGCTTTTCTACCGTTTCTTGTTTAAAAACGAAACTGCAGGAGTTAAGTGTGTTTTTGTATGCAATGGAAGTTGTAAAGAAGTGACCTCAATGAAAAAAAAAACCGCTGACGTGTTTTTCTGGCTCTAATCTTCCATGTTTGTTGGACATTAAACTGCAGGCTACTAGAGCTAAACAAGTGCCCACATTTAACGCATCTATAGTTGCATGTCAATTACAAGTTCAATAATAAATCTGGTATTAAGTAACAAGGAATTCGTTTTTACGTCAGTTCTTTTGATCATCTTGACCTATGATCTACTGGCCATGACTTTTGGTTGTCATGTGAGGACCTATGATCTACTGGTCATGATCTAAGATTGACTGGTCATGACTTGTAATGCGTGTGAGAACATGATCTGCTGGTCATGACTTGTGACTGACTGGTCATGACTTGTGATTGCCATGTGAGGGCCTATGATCCACTGGGCATCACTTGTGATTTACTTGTCATGAAATGTGATTGACTGGTGATGACTTGTGATTGCCATGTGAGGACATAATGATCTACTGCTCATGACTTGTGATTAAATGGTCATGACTTGTGATTGACTGGTCGTGACTTGTGATTGCCATGTGAGGACCTATGATCTACTGGTCATCATTCAATGGTTAGGAATTGTGATTAACTGGTGATTACTTGTGATTGCCATGTGAGGACCAATGATCCACTGGTCATAAATTTTGATTGACATGTGAGGACATGATCCACTGGACATCACTTTTGATTTAACTGATGGCTTGTGATTGTCCCGTCGTCGTCACGATCCAATGTGGCCCGGCGCCCATCGGGCCGGCGTTTTTCTTCGGTTTCAGTAGCATGACGCGAGTTAGAATATTTATATTTTCCCTGGACTGGATGCTAGTCCATCGCAGGTTACTCCCCAAATGCCGGTACCCATCTATACTCCTTGGTGGAGAGAGGCAAGTGAGGATGTGGCCAGCGGCAGGATTCGAACCCCTGAACCTCTGATCATGAGTCACAAACCCTAACCACTAGGCCAAACTCCCCCTGCAATTGTCATTGGATGGTTATAATCCATTATAATGACTTATGATGACTTGTGATTGACCGGTGATGACTTGTGATTGCATTGTGATAAATTGCGGTTATTTTTGGACGACTTGATAACAACACTGGCTTATCATCTTTTCCTATTTCAGTGTGGGCCTCGATGCACAGCTCGATTGATTCGCAGAACGAGGCTCTCGTAACACTGACTTGCAACGAAAAGACACTCATCAAGAAAGAAGAAAACAATCGTAAGCAGAGAAAGGATTGTTAATGCACATCCTCTGTACCAGGGGACAAGGGCGGATCCGGGGGGGGGGCAAAGGGGGCCATGCCCCCCCCCCAAAAAAAAGGAGACCAATTTTTTGGTTTGTTTTATGTGACATCGCAATAAAGGCAGGCAATGAGTACACCACCATCTTTTCCTCGAAAATCATTGGTTAAAGTGGTCAGAAATTGCCTCAGATCGCACCACAGAGCATCTAGAATCCAATTTTTTTCGGGGCCCTTAAGCGGGCCCCGAACCCCACGCCGTATTTGTTTTGACCCACTTTTGGGGGGGTCCCAATTTTTTTTGGCCCCCCCAAAAAATTGTGTTCAGGATCCGCCCTTGCCAGGGGAATTGAATCGTGTCTTCTTCTTTCCTTTTTTTTTCTTCGGAGGAGTGGGGGTGCAATTCCAAAATACTTACTGCGTATGGTAGGAGGTTGGCATCACCCATCTCTATAAAAAAAGGTTAATACATTAGTCTGAAGACATCACATTTTAAATTGGTCAAATTAGGGGTACAGACTGCCTTAAATTTCATGTCAATTTCAACATCTCAAATTTTCGAGAAAAGAAATTCGTTAACACCCTCCATTTCAAAAGGAATGATGCGATTAATATTCTCTGGCATCTGGCATATAGAAAACACACCAGCATGCATTTGCGCACAAATACCGCGCCATGGAACAAGCATCGATCCTAACTGTTCAATAGTATTTCCCATTCCCAAGGAGTAAGTACTTCACCAGAACGCCACGAATGTATCTCATCCGCCGAAGTAGCTGTCTTTGTTTAATTAGTCAACATGAATAATCAGTGGCGCACCCAAGGGAGGGGGGGGGTGGAGGAAGGGGAGGGGCTTGAGCCCCCCCTCCCCCCCCATTTTTTTCAGCCCAACGATTTGATAGTGGTGATATGTGGTCTATTTTCGAGTAGTATAATAGGGGTGAAAATGGCGCCACCAACGTCAAAATAGTCCAACCCCCCCCCCCACCCCTCATAAAAACAAAATCTTTTGTGCGGCTAACCCCTTATCACGACAGGTGCACTGTTTATTAACCGACCTTTCTGTGCATTTGTTGTTTATGATTTAATATAACCATACAACATGCAAGAACAGCAAGATGGCTTTTTTTCAGAAAGTATATTTTGGTATGCAGCCGCTCCGTCTAATTTGTTTCCTACGCCATGTTGTACTGTAGCTTCGCGAAACGGGCCCGAGGTTTGCTCCCCGGTGACTGAGTGTGGGGGCGCTAACGTGAAGATCTGCTTCAAAATATACGATTTGGAGATACCCGACAGCCCGGGGGAATCAAGCAAGGGCTGCACGGACGTCACGGTCAGCTTCAACGGTGGAACAACCAAGAAATACAAGCAGTGTGTTCCCGGAACTCCAGTCAACTAAACACGCGCGCCTAGCCCCCATTATCCTGGGGTTTTTTTTCTGCAAAGAAGTGTACAGGTAAAATTGACCATAATGCGCATGCGTCAGTTGTTAATGGATGGTTCTCGGATTTTTACTAAGGGAATAAATGTGTGCTCCGGAGGTTTTTATCACTCTGTTTAAGACCGCTTAGAGTCTGGGTGCTGATAATTACCCGAGCCGGAGGCGAGGGTAATTATCAACACCCAGACTCTAAGCGGTATTAAACAGAGTGATAAATACCAACCGAGCACACATTTATTCCCATTCATAAATACCTTTTCGGTAAAAAAAATCAAATAATTCGTTAAAAAAAATCCCGGTTTTGTTTAACAAGTTCACTTCATGCTTTTGGAAACATCCCTCAAGCAAAATAATGGAGTGTTCAGCTGGCGAGTAAGATGTAGACAACCCTTTTATGGAGATTGACGCGCGCGTGGCACGTTCTGCGCGATGTCGCGCAGAACGCACCTGGGGTGTTGCGTTTTGAATTTAGATCTATACAATTCTGACTCGCTGGTAGTGTTGCGCACGCCTACGTGAAAATTGTGAACGTTCAACCAATGAAATGGTAAGAGGCACTGGATTTTTAGGAGTCCACATTTTATGTGACACTGGAAAAGTGTTTAAGACCAGCTAGCAATGTCTTTATCATCCGTTTAAGACCGGCCACGTGACGGGCTCTCGACCAATTTGAATGGCTAAACTGTCTGAGGTATTTATGAATTCCCTTTCAAGCCAAAATACAAACTTTGCAAACATCAAAAAACAAAACTACCACAATATTATGAAATACCTTACTGGACTGCTGGTGATTAATAGTAGTAAATCATCCTGTAATTCAAGGCAAGTGGTGTGTAGACATTTTCAAGAAAAGTGGAATTTGGTCACAATTTCCAACGATTGGTCAAATTTACCAAATTTAGTTAGTCCACATTTTGTTTGTAATCGGTTACACATCTGTGAACGGGTGCAAGCCAGCTAGGCTGGTTCCCTAATTTTACAATTCCCCAACGTCTACAACTTGCTCTGTTTCATCTAAAGCAGAGTCAGGGAACCCTACTGATTTTTCCAGCATCCTTGAACAAAAAACTTTAAAAAGTCAGTATAACAATATTTTCTATAAAATACGAACCACTAAATCCATCCATATCTGAAAATTACAGCAAAAGCAAATGTTGTATAATTATTTGCTTTATAAAAAAATCATCCTTCGGAGCTATGAATATCCGAAGCGGAAGGTGAAATGTATTGCATTGAAAAGTCGGAATTAGTTAAATATTACTCCAAAGGGATTCCAAATTGCGGCTAGTACTATCGCCACTAATCTCACCATGAACCACAAGGCCACGGTGTAACTTCGATCTTCGCTAGAAAAATACACCATATAAGGTCATCTCAAATCATGTAGTGTATTATTCCAATCAATTATAATTTCCAAATGATATGATTCACGCATGCGCATTGTGATAAGAAACTGTATTCTTGGCTGCAGAAAAAAAAATTGCCGCTTTGCCTAGCGATATACGCACGGTCTTATTAGACTGATTTATGCATGTTAATCACGTTTTTAATTATCTTTTCCGATTTCTTCTTTGTCTATATTTTTCCGTTTTGGAAGGGGTTGTCTAGTCGCTCTAGTATCTGAGAACGTATAAAGCATGATATACTTCATTCACGATTCAGCCATATTAAAGTAAAAGAGAGGTAAACTCTTCATTATTGAATTTGCGAATTTAAGAAAAGAAAGCAATGAAGTAAAAGTTCGTTACAAAGTCATTTCAGTCTGCTCTGATGAATATTTAAAAGTTGTGATGAAGCATACTCTAATGTTAAGCCACATTTAAAAAGAAATTTGAAAGTGAGGCTTGGTACGCGCTCCAATCATAATAAAAAGTCTGGCATCATCCAAGTTCCACTCAACAGTTTACAAATTCTTAAATAGATTCAGGGAACACGACCAAAAATGGCGTCCTCGTGAATAAGGTGTATTGGTTTGCACGTGGAAAAACCCAACATCAAAAGAATTGTGGTCGTATATAGATTTACCAACGTAGGACTTAACGGATTTGGGCAATTATTGGCGTACACAATTGTTGCATTATTCTTAGAAACATGCTGACACAGTGACATAGTTACCAGTGGAGGCAAACATTTCAATCAATTATAATATATTTTATTCGGTAACCTTGAACCAGATGAAGGGACCATGCTTACGTACTTATGACGTAACAGAATGCAAGATACAAGAAAAGATGACAGTTATGGGGCAAATTCATGTCAAATGACATTGAGGGCGGTATTGTGTTCAGGCATTGGAAACGTGTCTTCACAGACAATATGATTGTGACGTAGTTTAAAACCAAGGTAGTATGCACCCAGATTTAAGAATAGAATCACAGCTATTGCTGAATTCAATTATCCAAAAAAAAAGAACGAGTGCTTCTAATATCTAACAGCAGTTCAAAGTATACTACGTGCAGTTAGTGATTAGATTTACTGTGTAAGTTTTATATACAATAATGGCTTTGATGGTGATACTATTGTTAAGTTCTAGTATAATTAATTCATGTACAGAGCATAGGCGGCACAATTTTCCAAGTTTAATAAGATCTTTCTAGAGTGATGCACCTTATTCAAAAACAGTAGTTTACACTAGTACACTAAATATAAATAGACGTCTATTACACCAACAAAATAGAATTGTATTACTGTTTGTTTATTTTAAATAATGATACAGTGGTTTGCCATTTATGACCGGATCATATGCTATTCTAGAGGGTTTTTCAGGGAAGTTTTGGTACGTCTACATGTTCCTATAAAGGCCCGCACGACAGTTGGAATCAGAATGATGAGGCCCCAAATACACATCTGGAGCCCAGAATAACAAGTGTTTTCTTTTCCATTGAGGAGCAAGATTGTGAACTCCCTAGAAGCGGGAATGTAGGCCTAATTTGAAGATTAACGTGACTTTTAGACATATTTTGGCCAAACCTTAGCATTCTCATTCCTATTGTCGATTTAAATAAAAAACGGGCTTCATGTTAAAATTCACACAGCTCTCATTTTTTAGACCTGCTCCCACAAATACTGGACAAAGTTGCAGATGTTGTTTTTGAATAAAGTGTAGGTAAAAATCATGTTGGGATGGAACTGGCCGCTTTGAGGTTTAAAGATTTTTCTGATTCAGTAACCAAAAAACTATAAGCTCCCAAAATATGCATATAAATTCATCATGCACATGTGTTTTTTATGATTTTATTTTTTTACACATAACAAATGTGTAAAGACATGTACACAAAAACCCTTCATTTTAATACCTGTGCTTATCTCATGATTGGGTTGTCAGGGTTTTATTACTTAATCCTTTCTCCCAGGCTTGATAGGTCTCAGTACCTATGGAAATCATATAGGCCTATCATGTTAAAGCTGAAAACGTCAGAAATTTAAAAATGCCAAAACTAAAAAAAAAAGGAAAAAAGATTCAACTTTGTCCGGTTTTGTAGGAGCATGTCTCCTTTACATTAGCGCCATTGTCCTAAACAACTCATAGATGGACAGAAATGAGGGGCTGAATGTTATCAAGAAGCTTCTCCACAATCATAGTTAACGACCTTGCGCTATTCAGGTCAATCGCGTCCGCAATCCAAGTCCCACTAAGTGTATACATTGGTGGGTCATCAACGAGTCTTGCAGTAGTCGCAATACTGTCCATCTACAAGTTATTCATGTAAGCCATGGTAATCATTTCCTCTTATACTGTTTAAAGACTTGTTAAGACTGAAAATGTCATAATAAATTTTGCTTTCTTCAAGAATGAAAAGACAGGCAGATTGTGTTTCTAACCACACATAGTGGTGTAACACCGGGGGAGGGGGGAAAGGGGGGGGGGGGTTATTTCCCCTTCGATACTTTCTAACAAGTGCCTTTTTTATAAGCGCCGTTTTCACACGATAGTACCAACTATTGTTGGCTTTTAACAGCTCCTTAATGGAAAGATCAACTCAACTCTTGAGGTTTCAACCCAGATGAACGATATGCCCGTTTTGACATCTACCTACCCCTCCCTCACCCCCCCACCCCCACCCCCACCCCCAAAAATGGTCTTGCTACATGCTGCCACGGTCATGGATCTTAGTCTAAAAATCAAGCAAAAATCCAACGCTGTATCTTCTACTTTTTAACTGATATTCATAATTCTGTATAATAGAATCATGGAGCCAGGACGAATTATAATCACATTATTGGATCCGGTCTGTGCAGAAAAGAGTGCGATTAATACAGAGCTCAACGTTTGGGGCACCATTTTGAGCGGCCAGAGGACTCTAATTCACCCGAACGAAGCTCCTCCCTAGACGCGTAAAATTCACGGACCGGACTCAAACGTAAAGGGGCGGAAAAGTAGAAATTGTAGTCACGGTGTCCCTGATTGGCCAAAGTTAAAGTTGCACCATTCCGAAATGAAGCCTTTGGCATTAAATGTTCCACCTGCAAAGAAAGAACAAGATCGAGTCGCTGGTTAGTTTTTTCTGGGATTAAAGGCATAGGGCTTATAATGTTATGATCATTTAGCTTTTTCGTGCATTTTTGTTTGTGATTCTCACAGTAACACCACGCAAGGATCCCTAGACCAATATTCACAACCTAACCCGTGGAGGTTTCAGCACAGAGGGTATTACATTTTCGAGAAAACATTGACAAACAATACACAACCTTTAGATTACAAAACACCTGTTTTGTCAGCTTATGTATTTATGTCCAAAATGATTCAATATGCAGTGAAATCTTGATAAGTCAAACCTCAAGGGAACTGGTTCAAAATTTGACTGAAGCAGAGTTTTGAGTGAAGCAGGGTTGTACACATTGTTGTACCACTGAAGGCACTGGATTCTCTGTTTGACTTAACAGTTTTTTCAGTTATCAAAATTTTACTTATCGAAAGTTCGCATGCATGCATGATTTGAGCATATGGTATCAATGGTTTCCCGCAAGTTGGTCTTTGAAAATCTTGGTATCCACAGCAGAAAAGCCATATTTTTAGGGATTCCAATAGAAACAAATGAGAACAATAGTGGTGAAGTAAATGTAGACAATAGTGGTACCCCATAAACCCAATATATAGATGTGTGAGTATGCAAACATCGGCAATCGTGCGTT